TCTATCGCGTGCCTGGACATAATATAGAAATAGAAAAGTCGCTTAAATCGAGCAACAAGGGTTCTCTTCCGAAATCTTGAAGATGGCGTTGATCGCCGATAATTAGAACTCCTTTCCTCTATCTCGAATTACGTCGCAGTTATATTGAATCATACGAAGAATAATGAACGAAGTAATGTCGGTTATACGATATGATCGTCTTTTTTTTTCGCGTGAATCGCGTCTTATTGTCACGGTTCGTAGCGCTTTGCTTTTTATTAGATCTGAGAATCGAATGTATATTTTGAAATGAGGTGAAAATTACAAAAGTGAGCAAACATTCGCTAGAATATTTTTAAAGTCTATTCTTTTGCACTCGGTATTCTCTAAAATCTTTAAACAGCGTCTATAATGAGATTTTAAAGCGTAAATTTTAAGCTTTAAGCTCCAAGTCGTAAGACATAACTAATCGCAAACGAATGTGACGAAATTAATCGACTATGATTAGACTATGAAAGACGCCGGTTTAGAGTGAATCTCACTCTTAAAGATTAAAAATTGAGCTGCTCTTTTTCAAACTGGCTCAATGTTTATTCTTTAATTTAGAGTATCCTCTGATCTTCTTCAATGCTCCAATATATATTTATCTCTATCTAGTGCGAAAACTATTCAGATTTCAAGTACCGCGGACATATGATTTCGTTGATAAACATCTAGTGAATTTGCTCACTTTGTTAATTTCTATCTTGTTTCAAGATACGCAATCAATCCCCCTGTTCTTTTTAGCAGCTAACCTTGCAAGATTCTCCACGTTGAAGAGGAAGAAAAAAAGAGAAAAGATGAAACGTACGAGAAGTTCCAACTGAAAAAGAGCCAGGCCTATTGGCTCCGATATCGGTGTCGACAAAATTACAGCGCAACAATACCGACCGCGTAGGCGCCGGCTTTGACTAAAGAGAGTGAGAGAGCAAATTGATCGAGACAGCGGAGACACGGTCGGCGACGACCGGCCGTTTAATCCCACCGATCGATCCGATCCTTCGCGAATCCAACCTGCCTGCAATGCGATCCGCCCTGCGAATCGACATCCGCTGATCCGCGGCGCGAGCGTGAATTATCGGCTGCGATTAGCTCCGCGCGCGCTTAGTATCCCCGACAGGCTTGAACCCGCTCTCGAAAAACGGCTCAAGTTTGCGTGATAGACGCGCGAGAGAGCCGAGGCGAGGCGAGGCGAGGCGAGGCGAGGCGAGGCGAGGCGAGACGAGACGAAGCAAGGCGGCGACAACAACGGCGACGGCGACGACAAGGCGATGGCTCGGGTCGTCGAGGCCTGCCTCCTTTTCCACCCTTCGTCCCTCCCTCTTCTCTCCCGCGGCCGCCTCCCAGTCTTCTCGCGACGTCCAGCCGGAGACTTGGAGGTTACACACGGCGAGTAAATCGATTCACCGCTCTCCAAACTAAACCGCACTCGTCGAGAGATCCGAAGTACAGACGCGGAGACACGATCGTCCCCCGGCGAACGTGCGGCGCGACTTACTTGTTTCTTTCTTTCTTTCTTTTTTCCTTCGACTCCTTTTATGTACTCCTGTTCTTCGCTCTTCCTTCGTCCCGGCCGCCGGTCTCTCGCGTTCTCGCGAAAACGACGCGATTACGAAGTAAACGCGCGGCGATAGGGGGTCAGGCCTCTCCGTGTTCTTTTCACTCAGCACCGCTGCTTCCGTTTTCTTCCCCCGCACGCGGTGCGCCACACACTCTCTCTCTCTCTTTCTCGTACACGCGCGGCAAGGCAGCACTTCCTAATACGTCTGCTGTCTCTCTCTCTCTCTCTCTCGCTCGCACGATCGGCCGTTTCTTCTTTCTCACACTCACAGACGGAGAGGCGAAGGCCTGGTCGAAGCGGCGACACGCGCTCGTGAAATTTCGTGACTCCGCCGAGCAGCACGCGCCGTTCACCGCATCTCTCGTCGCATATATGATAGACGCGAACAAATTTCCTTCCCTCTCGCACCTTCGTCCTCCTCTCTCGTTCTCTGTCAATCAAGGTGGGGTCGCGCTCGCGCGCGCTCTCTCTCTCTCTCTCTCTCTCTCTGTCTCTCTCACGATCTCTCGTCTTCGCTGTCCTTCTCTTTCACGGCATAGCGCGCTTCGTTTATCGGAAGAAAGGAGGAAAAACTCATCTGGAAGATGGCCGCCGCCTGCCAGTCACCGATTTATCCCTCTCTCGCATGGCGTACTCTTTTGCGACGGGGACCACCGCGAGCAACCCGGAGAGGCCGCGACTCACCGCGGACCGCGGTCACGATGCACCGGGTCGTTAACTGCGACACTGACAGACGGCGGGGGTGGGGACCGGGGGACTGGTACACGATCACACGACACGACGACGACGACGAGTACGATACACGAGAAAAACACGATGACACGAAGCGCGGAAGAAGCGGAAATCCTAGGATGCCGGTAAACGCGCGCGCGTCTCGCGTCGGCCGCACTCTCGCTCGCTAGCCCGACAGTATTCGTACTAAAAAGCTCACCTCGGTAGGAACCGTAACGCGCTCTCTTCTCGATACACAGAAGCGCAAACACGGAGGCACTCTCCGCTGCACACACACAGACGCACACACACACACATACGCACACTACGTAACCGCGCGAGCGGACGCGCGCGCGCACGCAGCCTCGTACGTGTACACACTATGCACTACACACCGCGCGCGTCAACGGCGCGGAGCGGAGCGGAGCGGAACGGAGCGGAGCGGCGACGAGACGACGACACGGTGGTTCCGCGGAGGACGCGCGCGCGCGCGCGCGGAGCACACCACGGGACTTTAAAAAAAAAAAGAAAAAAGAAAGGAAGACGCGGCGCCGCGTCCCTCACGGCCTTTACATATATATGTTTTCCTCTCTTCTCCTTCTTTTCTCTCTCTCTCTCTCTCTCTTTCTCTCTCTCTCTCTCTCACTCGCACGCGCTCTCGTGAATCGTGAGCGAGATCTCGCGGTCGAATTCGCGCGCACGCGACCAACCCCGTACGCGACGCCTCCGAGGATAACGCGGACCGTCACGACTGTTTTTGTTTTTGGCTGCACCACTTTCGACGACAACGCGGAATTTTAAGAGTGACGACGGCGGCGACGGCAACGACGACGACGACAGTGACGTTGCCAGTCACACACCATGGCGTTCGCACGGCCTCCTCTGTCTCGCTGTGTCTCGCTCCCGCAAGTCGAGCCGAGCGGCACCTTACGGCGCTTCGGCTATTATCGGTGAGCTACGATGTTTATTCGGCGGCGCATCGGCCGACCAGTCACGGCTCGCGGCGAGATTATCCCCGGTTCTCGCTTTCGTTTCCCTACTAGCCGTCCCGTTCCCGTACCATCACCGTGCCGTATCCGCTCAATCCGCTGTGCGGTGCGGCATGATTTTAAGGTCACGTTCACACCGGTTTCGCCTAATTATTGAAAAAATATTCAATAATTGAATAAGAATTCAGACACAAACGCGTAAATGCGAGTATAAATTATCGGCAATTAAAAAATCTTTACTGTATCGCATCTCAATACAATAAAAAAAACAAATATCTATTATTTCTACCAATGTTGATTAACTTTAATTTCGGTTTAATTTACTTTTTATCTCCTAGTTCCTTGAATTAGAAAAAACGATAAAGAGTAAATTAAATTAAAAATAATTCAAGGTCTATTCTTTCTTGAAAAATGTTCTGAACGAAAACAAATATATTGTAGTTTGTTACATTTTAACTTATTATATCAATGTACACCTTTTTTAGAATATTCTTCTAAAAAAAGTAAACCTTAGATTGATTTTAATTTCAATTTATAATCTACTCTTTATCTTTTTCTAGTTCTTAAAATTAGAAAAAATAAAGAGTAACTTAAACATCATTTAAAACTTCTTTCGAAAATATACAGAATTTAGATTAATAGAATTTAGATTCTATCTCAATTTTAATCTACTCTTTATCTTCTTCTAATTCTTAAAATTAAAAGAGGATAAGAAGTTAACATTCAGAATATTTTTTAAAAAGGACAGACCTTAGATAAACATCAATTTCAATTTATAATCTACTCTTTATCTAGTTCTTAGAACTAGAAGACGCTAAAAAGTAAGTTAAGCATTCAAAACTATTCTTTGAAAAGGACAGACCTCTACATTGATAGAAATACACAATTAACATTAACGATAATTCGTCGTACAAGAAGGACTCCACCTAAAAACACACTTTCAGAATTAGATATATTATTTCTTAATATTTTGGCGAATGTTGGTACTACAGTCATAGGATACAATTACAGTATAATAAGTCGTTTCCCAGATCGTGTGACGCTCCGACTTCTTACATTTTTTTTCGTAAGCTGTACAAACTCGCGTTTTATAAATATAGAAAACATATTCAATTATATTCAACTTGGTGTGGGATGGAGAGGGAGGTTCTTAAATAACTTCCCCTCGCGATAATATAACATCTAAAGCTGTGCGGATTATTCTTCGCCGAATTATTCTTTTTCTAACATCTTTGTTTCGATCGCTGATAAATCAACTAGAATTCGTGTTTTTGATACATAGATACAAGAGCACGCGCGCCTTCATGTATAATTTTCTATCGTAAAGAGAAAATCTTAATGAGATTATGAAGTATTAAAGTATTCTACAGTTTTGTGAAAAAAAGACGTCGCTACAAAATATACCTTGTAATAAATAAAATGTATGTACACGTGTTATAAATAAAAATTTTAATTAAAAACGTCTACGTACAAAGTGTGACTACCTTTTCTATACGATAATCTTAAAGAGAGCGCGAAGCAAAATTCATCGTCCACATAATGTTATCGTCCAAGTCATTCGCAGAAAATTCGCAATTGTTCTTTAATGGCAATTGAGAAAACCGACATTTACCGAAGACGGTCATTTTATTAAACGTTCAATAAAATTATTAAACGTTCACAGTGACGATTTTGTTTATTAGCAGCTTGATCGTTTTGCATCGCGCCGCTTAATTGCAAAATACATTTCGTACATCGATATTTCCTCTTAAAATGTACACGTTCCACATTTGGCACATCTTACTTACGTAAATAAAGACGTACCTCAAAACCGAATCTTCGGAGAATTCGAGTTGTAGATTAAACTAAATATCACAAAGATGCATTTATAATAAATTAAATAAACTAGACTAGCGTGCGAACTGTTTATTCTAGGAAAGAGAAAGGGGAAAAAAAATAATAGGTATGTGTGTTCGAGCACAGATTTAAATGAGATAAAATTGTGAGATTAGATATTCTCTCGATCGCTTTCAAAATAAACAGATCGCACAATTCTTACGTACATCTTTCTATTAAATAACAGCTTAAGATAAAATTTAACAGATCGACTTCACATCTGCAACAAAAGTCATCATTCAGCGCCAAATGTGGCCGTTTGAGATTCACTCGCTTAATAAAAAAACAAAAACAAATAGGACGAGTATTAAGTACGATTAAGCTCTACAAAGGGGGGAATCGTAAAGTAATAATACTACTACGTAAACATTCTTCATGTAACTACAAATATCGTGGCGAAGAAAACCTTACCTTAATCAGATATACGTATGTTATCGTAATGTCTACGCTAATAACGCTATAAATGATCTACACGTGTGCTCTAAGCTTAATTGAATCGTAATTTCTGCTACGATTAACGGCAGCTCTTCATTCCACGAATGATCGTCCACGATCTTGATGGTAAAACTAACAATTTATTCCGACGGATATAAGGATACAATCGATTTAACAACTATCTATCATGATTTAGATCTTTCATTACCGATCTATCGAATTACAAGGGATCGTCATGTAATACACAGAACTAATCGTACGGTGTAATCTCGACAATAAATGGAGGTAGCAATATTGTCAATAACAGGATTAGCCTTAGTGAAATGAATTATGGAACAATGTACAATGTTTATGTCTTGTCGGATATCGGCTGTCCCAGTTTCCGAACTTTCCGCCCATCCTCTACATGTAATCCACTATTCACGACAGTACAAAATACTGAAACCCTGCTAGATAGAAATTTACCACGATCGATAACGCACGTTGTGACGTATATCAAGCATGCCACTCTTTCTCGTGTTTCTTTGACGCGTCTAAAAGAATGTACTCTTCCAGTCCAAGCAATAAATGAGACTAAAGATCTCGTCGACTCGAAATAATACACAAAGCTCGGGCGAGAAATCATCATGACAATCGCGATGTACGTGTATTCTGCACTACTTTTTATGTACAAAGAGGATACAGGTACTTCTTAAGCGAGAATATCTCTATGTATAAACGAAACGATGTTACTGTACGTAATATAGATATGTGTAGAATAGCCCTCGTAAGAATAGGTAAGATTTGTGATAAAAAAAATGCTTTCTCTATTATTTAAGGTTTAAAGTTGATGAATTTTTCGAGCGTCGCTTAATTACGTGCAACACATTGAAAAAGTAGAATAAAAAACCACTTGCGACATTTGCGTGTCTTTTTGTAACGAAATTATATCACATATCTTACGTGTATAAACCATATAGAAATTATATATACAATATTCAGCGAAAATTACAAAAACTTGTACTTAAATCAGCAATATATCGGCTTAGCTTCTAGAATTTGCCCGACAGCTTAAAAAAAATCTCTTTGCGAAACTGCATATCACATTAATATAGTACGTATTGTTGTACGTACGCAATTTTAATTTCGTACTTTATACTTTCTCTCGCTGAAACTAAAGTGCTTTGAAAAGTTCGATCGTTTAACAAGCACGAGTCTTGCAAGAAATCCTTTGTTTCAGTTTTTACGTATCTTTACCAAACAACTTTGTCCGACTTTTACATTTTTAACTTCGATCACTCGCCATCCTTTTTTCGTTTCCATATTAATCAAGATCTACGGTAAAGTCCGCGTTATTAGTAGTAGAGATATTCATCTCCTCGTCTTCGACAGACTCTTTGTCTATGACGCTGGATACTGTGTGATGGTTGTTTGTCGTTTGATTATCAATCTTTGCTTCATCGACCGGTTGAACTGTCGTTAGCGTGGTCCACCAGTTTGAGAATGCCCCTTTCGCTTGCGACAGTGCTCCCCCTTGTAAATTGTTAGATCCAAGAATAATATTTCTATGCGTACACACGCGAATTTGATCGCATCAGACGTTAAGCGAAATTAACTTGAACATCTGATTTAATATTCCCAACTACGATTTTTTTTATATAATTAGATTCAAACCTGTACATGTAAATATAGAACATAATAAATCTAAAGAAATACGTATATTTTTTAAACACGTATTAATATGCAATTTACGAAATATTCGTATTCAGAAATTGGCAATACACTTAAATGCTCTATTATCCGGCTTACATTTAAATAAATAAATTATGCAACCTTACCCACGGCTTTTCCAGTGGTGGCCACTGCGCGTCCAGTCGTTGCCATTGCCTGATTCAACTTTCTGCCGCTTTCTGTATTTTGCATCGTGCTAAAACAACGAGGTTTTTATTTTCTTAAATACTATACTCTTAATTAAAATTAAATATAGTGAAGTGGGAAAAACAATGGATTGAATTCGTTCTATTTTTTTTTCCTTTGCACTATAAATTTATATTTCATATATGAAATTTACTTACTGTGATAACCGTAATTTCATATCTTGTACCGACAGCTGACCAGCGAATGGGTGCCCAGGTTCTATATTGTGTATCTCTGATTTGCTCGTATTGTACCACGTTTTGTAATTATTTGTAGTGCGCCACGCGGACATGAATGCTGCGTTGTAATGATCCGACTGACGAGTATCCTGTTGCATGGAAGTACGCAGCATGCTCAACAGATACACCCGGAACTGTGTTCTGATCCATTCGTCGCCGCCCTCCCATCCCACCCCGTCCAGAAAAATATCCTTCCGAGGCTCGGCTACGTGCCTTACGACGTAATCGGCGAATCTCAAGTCCTCCGTGGTGAGATGCAGCTGCCGCCTCAGCTCTGGATCGGTCGCCTCTATCCGCGTATTTTCAACCTTTTGTAAAGAGTAAGCGATTATAAATCAAATCATTTATATTTGAATATACGTTTAACATTATTTAGATTACCTCGATTAGCACATCGATGAGCTGCTTTTTTTGCTTAAACAGTACATTTGTAGCACCTACTATGTATCCTCTAACATTAACGTCCCCCAAGAGATCCAAATAGGGCAAAGATAGATAAGGTAAGCAGAGATATCCCTAGAACAATTACATATTTTACAATATATAAAATGTTCGAAATGCAATATGCAAAATTTTTGCAAAACGTGGAATGATATATCCGTAGTGAATACATCATGTATCATTACCTTCGTAAATAACTCCAAAGGTAGGCCGCATAACTCTGGATTAATGTGCGCGATTTGCGTGATGTTATTCGTCAATCTCGCGTCAGAAAGCGCATCGCTACTCGTGTCACGAGGTAAACTATTATCTGTGTCACCAGTGCTTAGTGTGATAGCGTTCACACTGTGTACCCTGTGTACATTATCGTTTGGCTTTGGCGAATATTTAGAATTGCTTTCCTCCAGGTAAGATTCGGTACATTCTTGTGCCGATTCTATCTCGATAACTTTCATATTCAGATTTTCATTGTCGTTGTTATTCTTCTGTAAAGTTACATGCTGCAACCCGTCCAAGCATTTGCCCTCCATCGACTCTATAGTTTTGTTGTCGTTAATGCACAAGGAGTTTCTATTGCTGTTATCGTTGCACTGCTCGTGACTCGTGTTCGATATATTGTCTTTGACGATATGAGTGGATGACAAGTTGGAGTCGTCGACATTATTCGAGATTTCTTCCTCATCGAAAGTCGGAATCGGAGACATCGGCCTGGATGGTCTGAAGCAGAGGATTTTATTTATCAGTCTACTATTAACATATTGATATATTTATTAAAAAAAATTAAAGTATCTCCATAATACCTCACACAAGCCGCTTGTTGGAGACCATGTTCGATCATGTCTGGGAACAGTGACAGTAGAGTCAATATCGTGGCGCACAATGGCTGCACAGGCGATTGATAAAAAACTATCCTTTTCTCAAGCAGGAGCAATTTAAACAAGAGCAACACTTTATGACGGAATTGCAATATAAAATCTCTCGCAGACAAACCTGTAAATAATTAATATATGTATAATGCAGATGGCAATTATTACTAAACACGGGAATTCATTGATCGATAATTACCAACAAAGATTTGCGGCGGTATCTGACTTTCGCCGCTCATACAAGAATTAAGATGATGATAAGTATCCTCCAGTAAGGACACTTTACTAAAATCCCCTTCTTCGAAATATGCGTGCGTTATCAGGGCCATTTTTACTTGAATGTGTCCATATAGAGGCAAAGTACTCAGCACGCAAACCGACTTTTGAACAGTACCTCTCGTTATATCGGACGTGCGATTCTTTAATTTCTGCAAGCACAGTAACGTTCTACTTTACATTTATTCCGAGTTAATACTTGTGTATGATCTTCAAGGAATGTCTTAACTAAAGACATCCAGAAGACATCTCTACGTCCTATAGGGACGTTCAAGATGTCCATAGGATGTCAAGTATTAAAACTGTCTAGGTATTAAAACACAAAAAAAATACTTTTATATACCTCCACAGGTATTTGGCGGAAACATGAAATGCCATATATCGTTTGTTTCGGATCGTTCAGACTAGGTAAGTGAAAATAGACAGTGTCCTCGTCGTAGTTATGAGAACCGTCGGGCAGAGCGAGAGTGGGCAGATACTTCCATCCCAATGGACATTCATTAGGCGCACCAGGCACCAAAGGTGGAAACGAATATTCAACCTAAAAGGTGACATTACGTTAGGACGTGTTGGATGTGATTGGAAACGCGCAGAGCGTCGATGTAACGAGGAGGCAGGTTAATCTGGCCTGTCGTTCTACCTGGCAGCCTTTCTTGTGGTGAAACCCGACGACGATGACGTGAAGAATCGGCCCGCTCGATTCCGCCATCCTTACGGCTCCGGTGGTGACAATGACGCGGCACTTCTGGCAGACCTGGGATACCTATTTCCACGGGCAACTCGCGAGCATCATTTCAAAACCGCGAGAAATATCTGTCGAGCCAGATGAGCTGATAGTGGCGGACATGCGATTTGACATGCGCCATGACGCATATGCACATGTGCGACTGAGCGTGCTGTACATACACTGTGACACTGCACACACACCACACACACACACACACACACCGCGCGCGCGCGCGAAGTATCATATACGCACGCGTAGAACGTTATCAGTTATCATGTTGAACCGGTTGAACGGCTACTATCCAGTAAGTAACGTAAATTCATTTTTGATATAATTCGGAGTTGGCAAGTTCTTCACATTCAACATCCACGTCAATCCACGTCTAGACGTTCGTGAGTCACGACTTAATAAATTAATAACTGTTCAAGAAGGTTCAAGAAGACACCTCGGTGTTGTAATCGTTCAAAGAAATTTAAACAATGCGTGCCTCACGGCACAAGAATTTGGGTAATTGAAACATGATTTTTTATAAACTTATCAGTACAAACAATTCAATAAATACATACATTTGCGCTTCTCTAAACAATTCAACATAAAAAATTGTAAAATAGTTTCCCTCTTTTTACATCTATATCACATTTACATCTATCATATCGAAATTGAAGTCAATGAAAGGTATCTCTGTTTAAAAGTATCTTTGATTTAATAACAAAACGTTTCACATATCGCATACAATTGTCACTTGTACATGTGTATAATATATGTGTGTATATACAAGGAGTTCTTTTATTACACAGTCCAAAGATACTTATTACACAATCCACGTTAGATACTTTCAGTTATCGTACAAGTTTACAAACTGAAGCAATTCATTTTCAACAAATCCACGCCTCCGTTCCATTACATTCGAATTGCAATTTCGTTTTATAAAGATATAGAAAAAATATATAGAAAAATAATTATACCAGCATGCACATACATACAAGTATATATACATATATAAACATAAATATAATTATTTTCCTATTTTTTTCTATTTTTCGATCTGTCACGTAAGAGAGCACCAACAGAATGCATGACATCGGCATTTCGTTTTCACTCGAATAAGTCCATTTTCTCTCGATCCTTGCTAGGCTGCGTCTACGCATGATGGCAATTCGCAGGACGCAGCTCCGAGAATATCTTGTTCGCTCTAGTTGGGAGCGCGAAGTTATTCTATGTCGTTGGCCTCATAGCCGTTCTCCTTCCCCATGGCAGCGAGTAGGAAGGAGAGGAAGAAGATGGGTGGAAAGAGTCAATCGGAAGACGCGCTACCTGCGTACGTTGAAGCCCCGGGTACCGTCCGGACCGGCAGGCATACGAATGACGTTGCTAGGAAAATTATTGCCGTTCGGCGTGCTCGATTTTGCCTGAATTCTGTTGATCTCCTGCATCGTCTTCTCTTCCGGACTCTTCTCTTCCCCCAGGATCCTCCTACGTGCTTCCGCATATTCTTGCTCCCGCTAAGACGATCCATTGCGTTCTTATTACGTTCGACAGTACAGGGTTTTATGGATAAATTAAGGATGTTTTCTAGCAAGAGACACAGATGATACAGTATAACACAGAATCATTATATCCTAGTTGTTTACCAACGTTAAATAAAGATGAAATGATTCACTGGAGGGACCCTACAACAGACTCTGACTATAAGCAATTTTAAAGCAAAACAAAAAGCGAGAGAGAAAGGTATATACTGTCTCTTTTTATACATGCTATTTCATTCTAAATATTACTTTACTCAGTCTAACTTACTAAAGTTAACAATGATGGTAAAAATTTGTCATCTTATGGCCAGAGAGTGTAACTGTTATAAGATCTAATTCACTGTATTATACTGTGTCTGTTAATGAATTCAATTGTATTACACTAGTACATACTAAAAAGGTGCTATATATTAAATTAACTAGGTTAAATGTAAAAGCATATATGTATATAAATATTTTAAATGATTAAATACTCAATAATGATATTATTGCGTTATTTAACAGAGGGTACATATATTGTTTCATTGTCAAAGTTGATTATATTATTCCACTTGGATTTATGCATTTACATTATATAAAGCAGCCTTTAATATATACTAATAGAGAGTGTTTTCCAGCAAAAGACACAGATGACAGCGTAACACAATAAATTAATTACATCCTTGAGTGCTTTCCACTTGATGATACAAGTCGTTCTATCATTGTTACTCTCTGAATGTCGAAAAAGATAAAATGATGTTTGTGTCACTAAATGGAAAACACTCCTTGTTTGCAAATATTAAACAAAAATAAAGTAATTCACTATGTTATATACTGTATCATTGTGTCTCTTCCTAAAGCACCTCTAGTGTAACAAAGTAACCAAATTCATCGTGTGTCTCTTGGTAAGCATCCTAAATTACATACCTGTTTAAGAGACTTAATAGGTTGCTTAGGTTTATCGTCGTTCAGCGGGCCGTCGCCGCTACCCCGCGAATCTGCAGTAGGTCTCTTTAATATCTTTACCATGGGTTTTGGAGGTACGTATTGAGATCTAAGGCCATCTTCCCCTAATATAATCATCCTTGTGTTGGCATCGTTACTGGTTCTATATCCAAAACATTGTTGAACACATGAACTATACATTGTATATTATAAATGACAGAAATATTTTCTTCAGAAATATTTAAATGACTTAAAAGCATGAAGGAGAAACGAGTTCAAGAAACGTTCACCTATAAACCTACCTAGAAGATTCTATTTCTTCCTCTACTGTGTTCAACCGAAGGGCCTCCAGTCTTTTGTCGAGTGCCTAAAAGCCATCAGAATTTTCATCCCTCTTCTATATCATATAACAATAAATAATTTCCATGAACGAGATCGACCGGGAGTGGAAAGGAAAGAATTTAAGAAAAGAATTTCGTACAAAAAACGTGTCCTTATGGCAGCATAAAGTACTACGATTAACTCGGGTGAATCAATCTATCAATTAAGGATCACGATGTACAAACAACGAAAAATACAAGCGCGATAGTCGGGATGCTCCAAAGCGAGAAAACGTGAGACGACAAACCGCGGAAAGTCTTCTCGTCGTCGACGGAAACTTCGGAGCTCGAAGGAGGTTATAGGTTAACGCGAGACCGTTCAGTCTTGCACTCCGATTTGGAGAACAAAATTGTAGGATGTGTCTTACTCCGGACTCCTCAATCTGCTCCCAGCTCTCGAGAACTTCGTCCATGGCCCGGATGCGTCGCGAATTTCCGCAGAAATTCCCGTAACTCGCGTGCGGCGTGCGAATTGTGGTGTGCTGCGAACCGCGAGGACTGGAGTGGAGAATTGGAGATTGGAGAACAGCACGCCCCGCCGTGCAGTCATCGAAATCTGGGGACGTTGTCGGTGCTGCCCTGCGTCGCGAGGTACTCAAATAAGCGGAATTGGCGGTTCATTGGAACCTTCGACGTTTCGACTCTCATTGAGCAATTCCACGAGCTCGGAGCTGCTCCAGAATCCTCCAGAATTCGGAATTCGCCGCGAGGCGAACCCGGAGATTCGTGAGACTGAAGCCGCGCGTTAACGGAAATGGACGTTTTTCGGGGTGATCAGGATTTGGAAAAATCTCTACTTTATTTCTATCAATGTAGATTATCTTTAATCTTGTAGATAAACTTTAACTTTATACTTAATTCTTCAAACTAGAAAAAAATAAAAATGAAGTTAATCTACGTTAACGACATAGGACTTCTAGGAGCCTCCCGTTGGGCGACCAATAAGCGTGCTTCGTGATGGACGAATTTGTCCCATATCCGTGCAGGATCTCGCCTTTCGGTTCGGCTCGGTCGATGCTTCCAAGTTCCACCGTTGCCGTACTTTGCTCGACCAGACCAGCCCGATTTGCACGAGGGTTAGTTGACGTTTCATTGAATCCGTGTCGGGTGTCGGCTTTCTAACGTCAGATTCTGGAGCCGCATGATGAACCGTACAATATCTGGCGTGATACCGGATTACACGGTGTGATTCTACTTCTGATTTGAGAAAAGTATCTCAGAGTGAAAAATATGACGGAGATAGAATGGTGAGAGAATTTATTTTCGTTCAAGTGTCTATTATTTCTGCCCGCAGAACACAAACAGTAATATTACATCAATATTGTAATTCTTCAACGATATAATTGTAATATGACACACGTTGAACATAACAGTTACATTGTTGAGTACTCTCTAAATTCTTTGGAGTGGAGTCTCACTCTATAAAAGAGTAAAAATTGAACCTGTCTTAAGAAGGAGTAGCTTAATTTTTAGTCTTTAAGAATGAAATTTTATTATTCAGAGTTATCAAAAGTTATCCTGAAAGTTTTAGAAAGTAGAAAATTATAGATCTGCTTGTTATTCCTGCACTAGAACTATAATCTTTCTCGCTTTCGTCAAACATATATCTATCTCACTTCAAGCTCCAAAGTGTACACTAATTCTGTCATAGAAAACATATCTTTTGGTTGCTTTTCTTTTAGTGATACAGTCGACACAAACATTACTCTATCCTTCTTGGCATTCAATGAATAATAACAATGAACCGATATATGTGTTGATTGTGTCTCTTAAAAGGAAAGCAGCCTTCAACATTGATACAATATTACTATTAGTTTGTATTTTGCAGATGATATCATTATTGCAATAATAAGATTTTCTTCTAACATAAGAAAATGAACTATATACAAAAAATTAATTTTGTTACAGGATATCAAAACCCATGGAATATGGGACTGTAAAGTTTGCATGCCTAGAAGAAGCTACGGAACATCCTTTGAAACCAGTTGTAATTACTGTAAGAATTAATAGTTTGAGTACTGTTTTGTAAATAGGTCCGTTCATATTGCTTGCACTTTTTGCTCTCAGTAGCTTTTTCTCTCTGCTTCAACGCCAGAATATATGTTTCTCATTTTAAATGCAAAAATTTTGGGATATTTCAAGCAACACGAACAGACCTATGTTTCAATTTTTATCTCGTATTCTATCATGTATGAACAAATTTTGATAGATGTTTTATTTTTTTATAGCTGATCGATGGACGTAGCGCAGCTAGACGCAGTGCGTTGCGGAGTACAAGTACCAGTTCCTCCACTGGAACACCCACACCAACGCACGCATCGATTCCTACAAATCCACTGAGTGATCCATTGTTGAGTCATCCTTCCCTAGACGGTTCTGATCCTCTTACACAGTTTGCTCGAGAAGAATTGGATCCTCTCTCTAAAATGGCTGCAGACGAAGTAATATATGATTTAATTATGTTTTTATTATTTTTATAAAAAGTTTATATTATCTGTGTCATAGTGGGATTATTCTAATGTTGCACCTACGGGTAAAAAATCAAAGGATACAGCAGAGGAATTGGTAGAACCATGGTCTGTTAGACGTTCCGCTATACTAAGTAAATATACAACCTCTGAAAAATTATCGATTGTCACCAGTTTCTTACCAGGTGGTGAAAAAGGTACCTTTTTTTAAAAAGATTATTGATTAATTTAATTCATGAAGAAATATTTAACTACAGTATCATTTATTTTAAATTGCTTATTAATTAATAGCTTTTTAAATTGCTGCAATATTGCTTTGTCACAGTTGTAGTGAAAGTTCAGCCGAGTGGGCCAATGGTCGACAAAGTAAAAACACGACTTGAACAATTAGACGATTTTGAGGAAGGTTCTGTTCGACAAATGTTGGACTTGTCGCAGCAACAATACACTGCACGAATCGAACAATTAAACAATGAACTAGTACAAGCGTGGCATTCCGACCAAAGAGTAAAGGCGCTCAAAATTGCAATACAGGTTTTGATACATTCATTAGCTTTTATGAGAGAACTTAGGACAAAAAAAGCTTACGATTTAGGAATTAATGTTAAATTATTTCAGTGTGCCAAATTATTAGTAGATACGTCCGTAATGGCTTTTTATCCGAGCAAGTTTGTTCTCATCACAGATATTTTGGATATCTTTGGAAAACTTGTGTATGAGAGATTGAAAATGAAGGCTGAGTACTACAAGTAATTATTATATAAGAAAACCCTTATTTTTTAATTGTATGCATTTTATATTTTTTTTTTTATCAAACAGTTACAAATATTATTTATAGTTGTTGATATTAATATTTTTTTCTTAGACCAGGAAGTAAAGTACCCACGAGCTTGCCCGATAATTTTACACCCGACATGGTTCCTGAAAATGCGAAGGAGACGTGTCGGAATTGGTTTTACAAGATAGCTTCAATACGGGAACTAGTACCGCGTCTTTATGTAGAAATGGCGATAATAAAATCTTACAGTTTTTTAACGACCAGGTAAGACTTTCGTCACTATTATAGATCTTGTAATATTGTAATAACTTGAAAATTAAAATATTAAAGTAATACTTTCATTTTAGTGAATTTAATACTGCTCTGTTACGTATAACTCGTATGATAAGGGGTATCGGAAATCCATTGATAGCAGTTTACGCGAGGTGTTATTTATGTCGTGTGGGATTGGCATTGAACAAAACATCAGACTTCGAATTCGTGAGGGAAAACCTGTACGACTTTCTTTTTACGTATCAGCAGCTATTTGGGACTGCTGTGAGAAACGAAATAGTGAAGCAAAATGTTACTCTTCATTCGTATCTTAATTTATATTCGCCAGCTTTGGATTGGATCGTACAGGTTTTAGTGGCGACATCGCCCGAGAGCCTTCTCGAAGAGGTCTTATCTCGTTGTAAAAAACAAGAGAACGGGTAAATATATTTTAAAAGTGTATTTTTAATTTATCTTTAATTTTTAACTTTTATCTAATCGACATGTATATGCTTTCAGATCGTTATTATTAAATACAGTGTTGACTGCATTTAAACCTACTTACATTGCTGCACGTGCTATGGACTTTGTGAATTTAATAGTAGCGAGTGAAGACGATGGTATTGAGATTTAAAAAAATGAAGTGAAGAATAGTAACACTCTTAATTTACGTTTTCTCTTGTTAATGTAATAGGGTATCCTCAGTATCTCTTATATCGGAGTTTGGGAGAATGCCTTGTACGAGAATCTCCGCCGAAAGAAGACTGTCAATCGGTGCTTAACGTGATATGGAAATACATAACGGACCTCACAGATCCCAACAAATTCATGCATTGCGTTGAGATCTGGATTCAGTTCACTGTTATACACTTTTCTGTAAGTTATGTCTGTACAAATGATATTTAATTATACTTTACGAAATTAAATTATTATTATTATACATATATATGTTTATAGGTAATTGAACTAAATTTATTTTTTGGCAAAATAATAGATCGGTTACGACCGAATAAAGCCTTCGAAAATTATTATCCACAATTGCAAAATATTATTGAGAAGATAGTTGCTCACACACAAGATTTTGAATCACTGCTTGCTATGGTAACTATCCGCGCTATTATAAACGCACACATTATTCATATTTTATTCACAGAATTTTAAAACATTCAATCTGTTATAAATTATTTGACGTTTGTAGGATAATTTTTTACCTCTAATTGACTTGTTTCACAAGGAAAGTGTTAAAGTTGAAGTTTGTAAAACTGTCATAGAAGGATTAAGTGTGCAAAACGGACCTATTACGGATCCTATTATTATAAACGCTCTGATGTTTATTGCAAGAATAATGCACGATTCCGTTAGGTATGTCAATTTAATTTCATGATTAAAGTTTATCCTGATCTCTAAAATCAAACAAATCAATGCAGTGCTCTGACCGTCGAAGATGAGAAACGACAGATCGGACAACTAATATGCGGACTAGTGCAACGAGTAGATTATGGTCGCGACTTTGAGAAGCAGCTTAGTTTTTACGTAGAGGCCAGGGCAGCATTTCCTAATCTTGATAGCGTTCATATACAACTTGTACAAGTATGTGATACATATATGATTCTACTTGATACGCATAAATAATTTTTCCTTTTATACTGTTGATCTACATAAAGAAAAAAGGTTTAGCGGCAATAAAGTATCTTTTTATTTGCGCTCAGTGCGTGAATAGATTATCAGTTGATACTAGGAAGATAGTACGTGGTCATCACACGAGAAGAACGTCAGCGTTTGTACGTGCCTGTGCTGCGTTCTGTTTCATCACTATACCATCGTTAACTCTAGTCCATACACGCCTTCAATTATATCTACTGTCTGGACAGGTTGCCCTTTTAAATCAATGTCTAGGCCAAGGTGCGAATCGAATTAATTTTGTTTTAACATTAACATATTTTTTATTTTTTTCATTGATTTATATGCGTAAACCGGCATTTTTCAGCCGATGCTTGCTTTAAGGCTGCTTTAAGTTTAGTTCCGGAAATGCCAAAAACCATCGACATC